TTTAGGGTTTAGGGTCTATGTACCCCACAAATCGTTCAACTTCCGCTGGGGTATACAGTTTTCTAGGGGGAATGTTGGATGTTAGGGTGTGGGCTTTTGAAGACTAGGGTACGGAGGTTATTCTCCCAGTCCTCATTCCAACCAGTATAAAGGCCCCTACAACCCCGTTACAGCCATGCACATTCCAAAAGCAAGTTCCCCATCATAGGCTAGCAACCGTTATTAACATGCACAGCAGGGATTCCAAAACAGGGTCTGACATTGGAAGGCCCCATATGAGCTAAAATCTACACTCCTAGTATCCCCTTANNCCCTATAGTAATCCCCTATATCATCCCCTATATCATCCCCTAAATTCCCCCTTTTAAAGAGTTTAGACTATAGCTCATATGATAGATTTTCAACACTGTCCTTTCAGAGTACCCCCCCAGAATAATTGAGGTCAACGTTTAGGTTGGGGCCTAGCAACAGATCATCATGTTGACAACCTTCCAGAAATCCCACGTGCAGGCCATACATGCTAGTTTAACCCATAACCCTAAACCCACACCCTAAAAAGTACTTTCCATTTTCTTTTCCATTATCCCTATATTTCCTTTACCTATATAACCACTAAATATTACCCCTATAATATATTCACTAAATATTATTCCTATACCTATATAACCCCTAAATATTACCCCTATATAGTCCCACTAGGAATGGCTCCATGCCAGTTTAGGCGCGAATCCCTGGACCCTGGAGGACATGCTCTCGAAGTTGCTGGTACACGACAGATGACCGCACATCCTGGTACAGGCTGCGAGCTTTGGGTCTGGTAAGATTGGAATTATATAGAGTAATATAGGATAATATTGGGATAATATTGGGATCGTTATATAGGGTAATATAGGATAATATTGGGATAATATTGTAATCATATTGGGATAATATTCCATTCAATGTGCAGGGTTTAGGTACCTTTGCAGAGTTGGTGGCCTTCATCCGGCTTTCGGCTGCTTTTGCAAGTTGTGGATTTTGAGGCTCGGTTCTTACTCTTTCAAGAAGGAGCAAGACAGAGCAAGGGCAGCTTCCTCGATGTAGGCTTTCCACATGAGCTATAGTCTAAACTCCTAGTAGCCCCCTTAATAACCCCTAGAACAGTCCCATATATAATCCCCTATATAACCCCCTTTAAGGAGTTTAGACTACAGCTCACATGAAGTAGCCCCAGACTGCCACATCCTGCTCTCCCCTTCTTCCTTTTCCGCTAGGGTTTAGGGTATAGTACACGTTCCTTGCAAACAAGATATAAGCTTACAGGCTTGTTGCATTTGCATTATGTTAGGGGCTGTTAAAACCCGGAGCAAGGTGATTTCACTTTAGGTTGACCGGAGGTGCAAGTTTCTCCAACTTTCTTGCAGATTTTGGGGAGTTATAGAGGTTTTGGGAGCAGTAAGAGGGTTTTGGTCAATGGAAACCTTCCCAAAATAAGGACCCTGCAGTAGTCATATGAGAGTTACAGAATCATTTTGTTGAAGGTTGGGGCAATCGCTATCCCCTAATTTTTCGGAGTCCTCACATTAGCGATTATATAGTAGATTGGGTTCCATACTGGGGCCCCCCGATTTATGGAAACGTGCTTCTTGGGGAGTGGCAGAAATGCCTTGGTGCCCATTCTTCAGGGTGGAATGAATGGTTGTTGTCGGGGCTGAGAAGATTATGGAGACTCGCTTCCATTTGATTCATTTACTGATGATCTGGGAGGCCATCGAGGGGCTTTCACAGATCCTCGCTGCCATCCGAGCCAGCGGAATGCACGAGTTGGGCCGCAGAGGGATAGGGAATCAAGGCTCGCAAAGGACATGTGTTGCTGCCCTTTGGCCTCCTAATGCTGGACCTGATTGGCATCGGGCGAGAATCTGGGAGGTTTCTCAAAATGGATGGGCGCTCAGGCGTACAGAAAATGTGGGGGTCAAAGCTGTGGATGTAGGAAATCTTGTGCCACCTAACATACTTGATACCCAAATAATCCCTACCTGGTGCAAGACTTCCTCCATCCACCGCATGAAGCGTTCTTCTGGCTGTAGGTAGTTGGTGTGTGCGTGTCTTGTAGCAACGATTACACTCGTCATGCTATGCGAACAAAGTACCAAGGCTGCCCAGGATAAAATCAGCTTCCACTTCCAACTCTAAACGCAATCCACCCCCCAAACCCTAAACCCTGGCCCTGAGCCCGAAACCCTAAACCCTCAACCCTAAACCCTAATCCCTTCTCCCGAAGCCCTAAAAGACGAAGCGTAGCAGGCTTTTGCCAAGACACGGCCTGGACCAATCAGGAAAGGTTCTTTCTCACCACATGGAGGCAGGGTAGGCTTGAGCCTTCAAACTTTGCAGTCTCTTCTGCAGCGCAGAGCCCAGTTGTCTTAGCCGTCTTAAACCCTAAAAGACTATTGAGCAGTATTCTATTTGGGGATACTATGGTACGCAATATAGAGTAAGATTCTATCCTCCTTTTTGGGGTATAGTATTTCATATAAGGAATACATTATCGTCAGAGCCCCGATCGCCAGACCCCATGATTAACTTCATGTAAGTCGTCTCACAGGGCGAGGAAGCCCTTTGCCCTCGGGGCCACGTCCAAACGGACGAGGCGCTGGATTTAGATTTGAAGCCTAGCCCTTCGGAGCCCCACGTCCGAAAAACCCTTTACATTCGACGCGAACGCCTAAGCCTTAGCCTTAACCCTGTGCCCTGAACTCCAGAACGTAAACCCGGAGCCTCAACCCCTAAACCTGATTCATTGAAGGGTTAGGTTGCCTTGCTCCTAGCTGGAGCAGACATTGTGCGCAGAACTGCCATGGCAGAGCGGCTCGAAGCATCCTTTAAGGTATTTGGTTGTTTCCCAAAATAAGGGGACTCCAATATAGACCCCAAAATACTATAGTCCTTATTATAGGGACCCCCAAAAGGGTACCCCTAATTTTGGGAAACCCCCATTTAAGGTTTAGGGGTCTCAAGTTGGCCCCCCCCGCTTGACAGTCTTTTTACCACGACCCTCATTTCAGTTGTTGAAGAGAGCTTAGTTGGGGCGCGTTATAGCGCTCTAGACCCTGTACTGCGTCACCCGACCTCACCACAAATTCTGGTTCGAATACAATCTGGCCCCACAGTGGCTCAATTTCAGATTCTGAAATTGGTCTAGCTAACCACAGAATCCCAAAATAATCCCTACATATCCCTATATCAACCCTATACATCCCTATATCACCCTCATATATCCCTGTATCACCCGAAATGAGCACGCAATTCTACAATCATGTATCCTAATCCATAAAAAATATATATATATATATATACACATTATATCTCTCCCTGCAGCCCCTAAACCCTAAACCGTGTGTTAGGAATCAGCGTGAATGACCCCGGAGAGTCGCTTGCCTGCGCGTTTTGCGAGGCCTTTGGCCAAAGCTTGCGCCAAGGAAAAAGCTGGCGGTTTGGAGTTTCAGGGTTTAGGAGGATTTAGGTTTTGAGGGTTTAGGGTTTTGAGGGTTTAGGGTTTAGGGGTTTAGGGTTTTGAGGGTTTAGGGTTTAGGGTTCAGGGACTTAGGCTTTGAGGGTTTAGGGTTTAGGATTTTAGGGTTTAGGGTTTAAGGTTTTTAAGGGTTTTTTAGTGTTTAGTGTTTAAGGTTTAAGGTTTTTGCTCAGTGCTTCACCTTCTAGCTGTCCGAGTGCAGGACGTAACTTAAGCAGACCTGTGACATTTCCTGCTTGCAGTGAGAAACTTGCAGTCAGTGTAACAGAGCTTGTGGTGCAGATGAAGAATTCCTCCCCCCCCAAACAAAACGTAGGGCGTAGGCTTTAGGGTATACTGTGCCATTGTTGAAAATCAGTTTCTAGCATTTGAACCCAGTAAGAAATACAATGATCACAATGATCTAATTCTGTTAGGTTTCCACAGGGTCAGGAACCAGAGTAGAGTTGGGATAAATTTAAAGTTTGGAGCTTGGGATGTTGAGTTTGGGAGTTAGGTTCGGAGTGGCATCTGACTTAGGCTACACCCCCATGAAGGAGTGCTGGAATTGTAGGAGTACACAGGGGTCCAAATATCCTTACCATTGTACCCTGGTGGTTCTTGCGCACACCAGACGTCCACACGAGTTCCACAACCCTTTAATTGGACTTTCTTGGGTCGAAAGACCAAAGCCCTGAACCCTAGACTGCTCTCAAGGTCCTCAACGATGTCGCGAAGCGCGGGAAATGTGCCGTCGAGTCGGATGCACAGACTTTCTCAGCAGGCTCTGGCCAAACTTATCGGCTAGGCCGTGAGTTGCATTTCTGTTGTTCAGATGACCCCTTCTAGGGGACTCAGCTACTAGGTTAGATTTAGGCCACGCGCCTGTCACAAACTCGTTGGCCTTTGTTTTGGTAAGGATCCGAGTATGTTGAGGAGTGCTCCGGGATGCTCATGGGATCTGTTTTGAGAAGTGGCCATGTGGGGTGTAGAAGGTTTTGTTTAGGTTATGGGTCCTAGCATGGTGTTGAGCCAGTGTTTGGGAAAAACGGCTTCTGTTGCGAGACGTTGTTATCTGGCTTTAGAAGATGAGAGAGGCACTGTAGGAGAGCTTTTCACTGCACCAAAAATGCATCGCGAGTTGCATCGTCTATCCTCCCCTGTCTTTGTAAGTTTAAGGGTCGATGCTTGCAAGACTTCTTGTGTATCCATGCATGGCAACAATGGTTTTCAACAGCAAGAGTTTTGTCTTTTCCAAGATGGTTTGAAGTCCCCCTCCCCTGGGCAATGGCTCCGCCCAGTGCTTTCATTGACTCTGCGCCTGGATTCTGACTATCTCCTTGTCTGTCTTTCTCTTACTCACTTTCCTCCTCGTGTCCCATGACAACAACATGCATATCGCAAGAGGCCAGAGCGGGTCTGCAGGATTAGCTGCTTTCTTCAGTAAGCGTCTTCGAGCTGTTGACTTTTTACGAGACCTTCTTTGACGAACTATGTAACACAGATCTAATTCTTTTTAACCATTGATTATGTCACATCATGCTCCTTGTAGGCGTTGTAAAGTCGCGGCTGTGCCTGCGTTAGGAACCCTAAATACGATCGACTGTAAATATTTAGCCCTAAACCCTGAGCTTTACGCCTGAGCTGTATACCCTAAATCCTTGGCCCTAGACCCTCCTCCAAAAACACACCTCCTCCAAACAGTGTGGGGCTGAGGTTCCTTCGTTTGATCTGCGCAAGAAGTTTCGGGCTCAGACATGGAGATGAGGGGGCTCGGCTTCTAGGGGTTGAGACCCAATGTTTCGGATTTGGTTTAGGGTTTTGGGGCTTAAAATTCAAGATTTGGCATTTTAGGTTTTCAGTGTGAAAACTGACCGAGGTGCATATTCCATCTGAGCGCTTGGCGGATGGACACTGCAAGGGAACAAGCAAGTTTCGAGAAATTGGGCACCGTCAGGAAGCTTTGTGCCTTACCCCAGGCTCATATGGAATTTCAAAGTGGGCCTTCAAAGATCTTGTCCTGGGTTACATGGGATTCCACGTTGCTATGGTGGAGCCCCCCTAAACCCTACACATCGGATCTATAATATTGGTATGAAGGAAGTGGGACCACATGAATTCCAAAAGGAACTATTACCAAGGCAGATGGTCCTACGAGCAGGATGAGCGGTTGAGGCAGGGCCGGGGACCGACCGTTGCATGTTTTTGGTATCGGGGAGGAGTTGTTGAAGCAAGTTCCTGTCTTCGCGAGTCTTGTCACTATGCTCTATAGTTTTGCTGCTGTCAC